TGACTGTACCATTACCATATTGCCATTTCTACTAATAAAATGTCTCTTTTTTATTGGACGTTAGCAAGACATTTGTTATGTAATTGTGCCTAGGCCATATGAAAATAGTAAGGTTCAGCTACTTGTACAGGTAGCCCCCGACTTAGAACCATTTGTTTAGTGACTGTTCAAAGTTACAACAGTGCTGAAAAACTGACTTACAACCAGTCCTCATACTTACAACCATGGCAGCATCCCCAATCATGTGATCAAAATTCAGGTGCTTGGCAACTGGCGTGTATTTGCGATAGTTTCAGTGTCCTGGGGTCATGTGATCACTACTTGCAACTTTCCCAGCTGGCTTCTGACAGGCAAAGTCAATGGGGGAAGCTGGATGCGCTTAATGACTGCATGATTAACTTAAGTGTGGTGATTCACTTAACTGCGGCAAAAAAGGTCAAAATCAGGCGCAACTCACTTAATAATTGCCTTGTTTAGAAACGGAAATTCTGGTCCCAACTATGGTTGTAAGTTGAGGACTAGCTCTAATAAATTTGTGTTTTCAATTTTTGACTTTCATTTGACTTTAACAAATTAAATTAGGAATTAAATGTGGAGCCATTGAAGAGCCTTCCAAGCTTCTGACTCAATACTGACCTGCATGGTTCATGCACAGTTCACATACCCTTGCTGTTTGAAACTATTGGAATGCAATCCCAAAAATCAATTCTAAAAAACAATTGTGTTTAATTCTTAAAAATGGGCCTAGTGGCAGATTATTTTTGAAAGGTGGGAAGGTCTGTCCTCTTGGTTTCTTTGATGTTGCTTGGAGCCAGGCCAGAAGAGGATGTTTCAGCACCTCCCATGAGGGAAAAGGCAAAATAGTGTTTTACGGTAGATTAAACTTTATTTATAGCCTGAGACCAAATAATAACCACATTGCAAACTCAAAACTAAAAAGAATAAAAAAGATACAGCAAATTGCAGAGAAAAAAATGGAGTGAAATAAGTTAAAATAAAATGAGACATATAACACAGCATTATCAAGATTTATAGATAGATTTTTCTGTCCATTGCAGCTGCTCCTTCCTCTTAGGAAAAACTTACCTGAGGGGGAATTGTCTCACCTGTGTCTTGCTTTTGAGTGCTTGAATCAGGCTTGGGATCTGGGAGCAGTAGGGCCCAATGGATGAGTTGTTCCTCAGCATTGGGACTGTGTATCTGTCTTATATTTGGTGTCTTTTTTATTAAGTGATTTTACTGGGTTTATTACAGTATTGTTCTTTAGTGATGGATGTTGCTCTTTCTAAACGGCTGGAGCAGCATCTTGAGCTATGGAGATGAATTTCAGTTTTTGTTTTGTTTTGAAATTTACAATAAACCTACAATACTTTGAAGCTTAGACTGGTAAGACTTATTCTTACTCTGAAATGACAGAAAAATATCTCCCCATTTTCACAGGTGATTCTGGAACCACTGAAGAGAGTTCAAAGACTGCATACAATTTTGGGGCTTCAGGTTACCTCAGAAGTAAAATATAGTGAAATGTTTCATGTATGCAAAACCTCTAAAAGGGAAACTATTTTTTTTTCACAGAACAGTGTACCTTCATCACAACAGCTTTGTGAGAAGATTGGGCAAAGCAAAAGTGATTGATCCAAGGTCACTCAGTGATTTTCACAGCATAATGGTGGATATTTATCCATTCCTAGTCCAACATCTTAAATACTACATCAGACTAGAGGCAGGATCTATCTTCAGTTGTGGTTTACACTGTCTTTAAAATGCCATACTTGGGGGATCAAAGCACTCAGTTAACTAGGTTTCTCTGGATTATGTTTCCCCCATCCCCCTAACACAGAAACTGGCAATTACAGAAACTCTGTAGAATGCTAAAATAACCAAGGGGCATAGCTAAACAACTTGATGAAATGCATTTATCTTGCATGGCTGTAATGTAATCTGAAATGCTTTTATATTTGGAATCTTGGATCCTAATTTGAGTCCTGTTTTTGAAAGAGGGATTTCCTGCCTATTGTTTTTTACAACCCTTTAAACTCTCTTTATACTAGTATGGGATTTCATAGACTGGGTTGCAGTATGAATAGTAATGATTTTCAGCACACAGTAACAAAACATTTAAATGACTGTTACTTGGTTCATAGCACAATATATATGCACAAGATAGCAGAAACATCAGCAAGTCATTTTAATCTTTTAATAGATTAAAGCAAATTCAGTAACATATCAAACATTACTGTTTTGCCTTAGTTAAAAAAAACCCAAGAAATATGAACTTTCTTAAACTTAAAAAATGTTCATCATGGAAATGGACTGGACTGGAAGAATACATTAGGTAATACCACAAGATAAAACTTTCTTAAAACTGCTCTATGACCAGATTTTATGCAAAAGACCAAACACAAATTGGGAGGTTTAATTTAGATTCCTTCTATAATGAAAACTGACTTTGTATGAATGCTCGTCTGCTTAAAAAGGTCTATACAAAATCTTAAATTATAAACAAAAATGTCATCTTACAACATTTTAATATAGGGAAGCAACTACCTGTCCTCTGGCTTGGTTTCTATCATCATCTGGAAATTGGCAGCTAAAGCCAACATTAGTTCATTATTTCAATGCCAGTGAATTCTGACAGGCAATTATTCCCTTGGCACACCAGAAATCACCACAGGGCAAAAGCCAATTCTGCCATCCTGCGATAGACTCCACACTGAAATGTTGGAAGTCAAAATGGGAATCCGATGTCATATTCCATATTGACTGCACCTTAGAAATTTAGGTATAAAATGTAGCATATTCAAGTTATTTAGCCTTTTGATTTAAAAAACAAAAGCAGAGCAATAATTGGGAAGGTATGAGAGACGACAGTGTGTTACTATACAATTCTTGCTCTTACCAGTCAGTCAAATATTTATTACAAAGACCAGTACAATTAAAAACGCTCAGAATATCTAGTTAATTCTGGAATAAAATAATAACAAATAATGAAATCTATGTTGAAATCATAATTTGGCAGCTTATTAGTTACACACAAGCAAGAGCACAAGAATGTAACATTAGTCCTTAAAGTGTGAAGGCCTATAATTATTATGTACTAAACAGGGTAATAATATCAAAATGGTTAAAATAAATAGATTATTCATCAGGTTCCAGCCAATTTTAGTGCTGTTGCGCAGAATCTAGCTGCTTGTGTTGTGACTACAATCTGTTGGTCTTTAAACAACCACTGAAGATAAATGGTGTCAGAATGGTCAGGTTACTTATAATCGGGAAAATAAATTTTGCTCGAACATCTGTATAAAAAGAGCAGTGAAGAAGGATGGGTCCAGAGGTTTCCACCTCTCCAGAATCCCAAGGGCAGAACTTTTCAGCCAGTGGTATCCCTGCGGTCCAGGATGGCTAAGGGAAGTGTATGGCATCATGCAAGTGAAAAGGCTTTCTGATGATTTGCTATCTCTAACTGGCTAAGATAACTGGCAGGAGTGACTTGCTCTTACCAAAGATTTGATCAAATCTTTTGTTACTACTTTTTAGGACCAGTATGCCTAGCAAAATTCTTCAAAAGAAACAAGGGAACATGTTGCATGAAATATAGACAATACATTAATATTATTACCCTACTACTACCTAAGTACTATATGTCATGAACTAGCTAATTTCACTAGTTTTTTTAAAAAATCTAGATCCTGAAAAGACCTATTTTAAAAGTTTATCACTTTTTTTGAGTCAAAAATGTCTTTCGCCAAAAAGCCAAAACTGAGAAATGTGCCTAGCAAGGATTCATACTTTTCCTTTTTATAAGAACACCAGCATTCTTTACAGTACTGGCATTGAGTAGATCCCCTTTACCTATCAATATAGCTAGTAAACACTTCATTTAGTCACTTTATACTTGGATATGCACTTACCTGCATACAGGACATGGCAATATTAATGTATTAATGTATTAATTCCATGTTTTCTGGAAGTTGACTCAATTAAGTTGGGAACTTTAAACTGCATCTTTAATCACTAGCAGACACAATACATGTCTACTATAGGCTTCCCATTATGCTATGCCATTTTTACACCTGCTATAAAAAAGAAAAATGACTCAATTTTTCGGAAAGCTACTGAATATATGACATAGGGGTTTTTCACTTTTTAAAGATATTTCTTAAGATATGAATATTACTAGCATATATTTTGGGAATCCATGCCTGGGATCATACATTTTTTTAAAAAAAGTATCTGCAGACATTACCATTTCATAAATAGGATTCAATCTCCTCCACCCAACATATTGAACAAATTAACAATAGGTGGAATATAGTGCAAACTGAAGACAGAATTAGGTTTGGATTTCTTTAAAAATTATGAAGCAAAACTTAATCAGTTATGACCACAGATTAGAATAACATTATAGGAAAAATAACTCCGCTAAGATTAACATATAACGGCATTACAATGGAAGTAATAGTATTTTTCAAATCATGTTCTGAAAATTTGCTGCTTTTGTGGAAACCTTGTTTTTTACTGAACAATTTTTACTTCACTTATAGCTATAATTCTCTTAAATTTCAAAGTGCAAATAAAAACTGGTTTGCTTAAGTATTGTCTTCAATAGTCTATAATCAACTATAGTTTACTTGTTTTCTAGTGGCCTTTAGTTATTTTTTGCTTATTAATTTTGAAAGAAAAATTAAGTGACAAATTAAAAATTGGAGAATTACTTTAGGCACACTACATCATTTCCTATGCTCAATGAGAACATTTTTTATATGAACAGGAAACCTTTATATCATATGAAAACTGTCCTTGAATTTCAGGGGCAGCTAATCACAGAATGTGGTAGATTTGGAGACAGCTGAAACTAAGAAACCATCAGTTCCACAAAACTGCATAATCTGAGTTGTGCATTACTCTGAAAAATATATTTGCATCCTAAGCAAAACTTATACTTGTAAAAAAAATCAAAATTCCTTTAAAATGTTTTCTTATTAAACATTAAAACATTTTCACTTTGATTTTACTATTGATTGCTACATTGTGTATCCTGGAAGCTTGTTTATTACTAATTCACTGATATGTTTACACTGATTTGTATTATTCATCTTTCCAAAGCTATCCTCTTGTTCATTGTCAGGTGCTTTGCTTTCTTCTAGACCACTAAATTCAAGGTCAGACACACTAGAGGGCAAGTAAGAGCTAACTTGAGATGTCCTTGCAGAATGGCTGTTTTCTACATATGACTGGCTTTTTGCTAAGTTACAATTTGTATTAGGCTGTACTTGTTGGTCCTCAAAAATTTGGGTAACCTTTTCCTTTTCCTTAATTGTAAGTTGGTCTCTTAAAGTTCTTGCAAGAGAATCATCATCCATTTTTTTCAATCCAATGCCTAATTTGTTTTTGTTAGATTTTAAGTCATATGTCTTTTTAAGAGTCTGAACAGGAGATATAGCTGAAACTTTTGGAAGAAGAGGTGAAATACATTTAGCAGGAAGACTTCTGGAATTTTTAGAACTGGAGTCAATGCCAGACTGACTGTGATCTGAGTTTATAGATAAAGGTTCAGGACTGTACTCTGGAGCTTCCAAGCTTGTGCCACAACTGTCTATACTGGTGAAATCTTCCGAATAGGCTGTATTTTCAGAAGTAACTACTACACTATCTGAATTCTTACGTGCACAATTCTTTTCCAAGTTGTTGGTGTGCCTATCTTTATATATATATGGAATATTACGATCACATTGCAAACATTTTTCTATCTGAGCATCTACTGGGTTTTCAAGGGCTTCAGTATCCTGTAAAAAGACTCTTGGCAGATGGACTTCCAAGCTCTTTTCTTTGCAATTAGAACCAACACTTTCAGAGGAGTACTTCCCTTTGGCGTTGTCTTTATTCTTCACACAACTGGCTCCAATTTTTTTTGTAATACGAGAGCTTATTTTCTTTGTGGTCATATGGCTATTTCGGCCAATACTGCTTTGTATTAAAGTCTCAACATTTTCATTAATTTGAGCATTTTGATCAGAGATGCTTTTTTCATCATATTGCCCAGAAGACTTTGGATGATAGTCAAGGGAGCCCCTGAATATTTTTTCTTTAGTCAAAGAGCTTTTACCTTTTTTTTCAAACGATATGTCACCAAGTTTTTTTCTACGATGTTCTCTCTTTTCATGAACCTTCAACATACCTGGACTTGATCTCTGAACACGAAGCTTTAATGTATTTGTCAGCCCATAAGAGAATTTCCTTCTAGTGGGAGAATTTTCTTTGGTATTAACCTTTTCAGGGCTCACAGGTCTTTCAGTGTATATTGGTTTTGTAAAAGTTTTGCCAGGACAGTTAGGAGACATGCCTTTTAAATGATCTGGGCGATTTCTTTTTAATTTAGGACTAGGTGATCTTCCTCTTTCTTTGTGATGTGGGGTGTTTTTCTTATCATCCCAGCAGGCACACAGATTCTTACCATTACAGGGTAATGTTTTTGTACCTTCTTCTGCATTTTGATATAGCCATGCCAACTGAGGATGCACAGTAGAGGGTCCTGGTGGTAGGGGCTGGCTATTCAGCAAGGAGAGTTCTACCAGCAAAGCATTCAGTAGAGGCAACTGACTTAAAGTCTGCCTGAGTTGTTCAGAAGTACCCGGTGTGTTGGCGAGTAAGGGTGGCAGAGCCTTCTCAGCACTAACGACAGACTCCCCCTTCACAAAAGGTAAAGGAGTTCCTTCTTTGGGAAGTGAATCTTGAGCGGCCATGATTATCACTCTTGTTGCAGCTTTAGGGCTGGGGAAGCAATTTTCCATTTGGTGACTGTAATACATTGGTGGGGGACAAAAGGCATTGTCGTCCAGCTTTCCTGCGATGTCCTCCCCGCTTGAGCTACCGGAAAAGGGCTCCGGCTCTGTATCAGGGCTGCTTAAGGACCCTTGGCTGCCACCGCCTGGGGCAGGGTCCTCCTCTCCTTCCGAGATGAATTCCAGACTGAGCCTCCGTTCCGCAACTCTCCCTTGCGGACAGGGGAGCTGCTGGTCTCCAGCCAGGGCTTCGTCCACCGCCGCCGCCGCCCCTTGCTCGAAGTGATCCAGGCCCGAGGAGCCCAGGCTGCTGAGGCGATAACTCAGTTCCAGCTCCCCCACTGGTTCTCCCATCAGGTCGCGCACCGGGAAGTGGCCCCTTCCAGCTGCCGGCCCGGAGCCAGGCAACAATTCCTCGGCGGCGGCCGCCAGAGAGATGCTGGATGAGCCGAGCAGGCGGGCGGGGCCCGTGTGGGGCGGCAGCGCCAGCAGCAGCGCGTGGAGCGGAGAGCGCCGCAAGAGGCCCTTCAGAGCGTCCGGCCGCAGCCTGAAGAGGCACGACTTGCCCCGCCCGAAGGGCACCACCGGCCAGGACGCGGCCTGCGGGGCGTGGACAAGGAGGGTCGGGAAGTCCAGCAGCCGGAGAGCCACGGCCGACAGGAAGGGGCCACTGTCGGGTAGTAGCGTCGGCAGCAGCCGCGGTTGCACGCGCGCTGACTCCACCAGCAGCTCCAACGAGAACAGGTGCTCCCCGCAGCCATCGCCTCCCTCCATGCCAGCCCGGCGGGAAGGCGCCCCAGATGGCCTCTTGAAAGGCAGGAAGGCCGGCTCTCGCGAGACTGAAGGCAAGCCGCGCGACAGCCTGGGCGCGCGTCTCCCCGTCTATAATGATCGCTATGGAAGCGGCGGCCCTCCGTTGTCTAAGCGACTGTTTGCCGTCGCTGAGCTTTTGAGCGCGGGGGCCGCAAAGACCTCTGGGAGTGCGGGCGCCTCGTGCGGGACCGGAGCCAGGCGCTCCGAGAGCCGCAGGCTGGAAAGGGCTGCCCGAGGACGCTTCCGATAGGCTGAAGCTGCCTTCAGGACGAAGGTCTCTAGAGCAGGGGTCTTCAACCTTGGTCCTTTTACGACTTGTGGACTTCAACTCCCAGAATTCCTCAGCCAGCATGCCTGGCTGAGGAATTCTGGGAGTTGAAGTCCATAAGTCATAAAGTGGCCAAGGTTGGGGACCTCTGCTCTAGAGAGTGCGGTTGCCCGAGGAGACATGAAACACCCGTATACCTTTGACCGCAGCTAATATTGTGCTGGCCTGCCGGGATGACGGTCTCTGGAGCGCTTACGAATCGTGAAAGCTGCCCGTGGCTTATTCTTGTTAAGATATAGAGAAGCGGGCAAGATAATAAAATGAATGCCTTTCAAAAAGAAGTTATAATTATAATGTTGAAGCGTTCGGGATCTGTAGACGTGGAGTCCTCTCGCGTGGGAAACTCGGATCCGGTTGTATTAAGGAATCTCCCCATTTTTGCTGCGGAATTAAGAATCCAATTGTTCACGTTAGGTTTTTAATATTTTGTGTTACTGAGTGATAATTAAAAGGGTTCTTCTCACATTTTTATAATTTAAAACGTACTCCTGTGTGCGGAACATTTTGCAGTGAGAAGAAATAGAAGTCTAGCTGAAAATGAATTTAATCGTATTTATAACTCTTGCTTTTCCCCTGGAAATGTAATATTTGTATGCGTGGAAGTCTCTTATTTTATCCTCACAATAACCCCATAAAATAGATTAGGTTGCAAGACACCGATTAGCTTAAAGTCACCCACAATTACTATACAAATTCTGAACATAGCATCTTTATGTTTCACTGATTTCATTGTAATTTCTTTAATTGCTGTAAGTTGCCCAGAGTCATTGAGAGTTGGATGGCATGCAACTTTAATAAATTATTACATATACTATTTCTTGAAACTACTAAACCAATGATGGCAGAATTTCCTTCTTTGGATGACTATTTTCTAGTGAGCAAAAAGTAAAAAGAGTAGCAAAATACAAGACAATTATAAGTAGAAAATTGCAAGGTATGGATTCTTATAAAACTATGTCAGTGAGGTAAGGCAATTGCAATATTTTTTTTTCTAGAAGTGTTATCAAACTATATCTCTTCTACTGTGAAATTAACTCTGATTTTCTGAAAACATAGCTTTTCACAATGCAAAGTCAATGTAATTAATCATTGATGCAGATAAATGCTAGAACGTATCCAATAATAAGAACATAAATTATCATTATTCCAGAACATTTTTTCCTTCAAACTCACTGAGTTATCCTTAATCTGATTACCTAGGGATTTCATGTAGGACTTGAAGCATTTGGGGTTAGAATGATTTGAAGTGAATTCACTTATGTTAGACAGAGAAATTGCTTTTCTCAGCACCTTGAACTAGTGTACTAGTTATGATTTGGATTAATTTTGTTTGATGGGATTAACTGAAGTCATCAAAGTTAGCCAGAATTCAGCAGCGGTAACAATTTTTAAAACTGCAAAGCTTCGAAGAAGTGTGTTACTATGTTTTGCTTAAGTATGAACGAAGCACCTCTTGGTAGCAACTTCACCATGCAGTGTGACTCTTCCCCCCCCCC